GGTGGCAAGAGGATGGGACCAGATTCTTCGCAGGGGTGCCTGGTGACAGGACAAGGGGCAACAGGAACAAACTGGGACACAGGAAATTCCATCGAAATATGAGGAAAAACTTTGCTGTGAGGGTGGCAGAGCCCAGGAAGAGGCTGCCCAGGGAGGTGGTGGAGTCTCCTTCTCTGGAGACATTCAAACCCACCTGGACGCATTCCTGTGGGACCTGCTCTGGGTGGACCTGCTGTGGCAGGGGTTGGACTGGATGATCTTCAGAGGTCCCTGCCAACCCCTGCCAGTTTGGGATTCTGCCAGACCAGGCCCAGGGAGCCAGGGACAAGGGGAACCAGAGCCCAGCAGGGGGCTGGGCTGCCAGGAGGCTGAGCCGTGGGGATACACATCCCCATGTGAGGGCTGTCCCCATCCTCCAGTGCTCCTGCTGGGGCTTGTCCTCTCCAGAGGGTGGGGTCTGCTCTCCAGAAAGGTCTCTGCCATGGCACAGAGGTGTCCCGGTCTGCTCCCCACCCACCCACGGATGCTGGACCCTTGCCCAGCAGCTGCCCTCATGCCCATGGGAAACACGATCCTCCGGAGGGATGGCCGGAGCGGAGGGATGCCACCCTGCTGAGATCATGGCCTGAAATACCCGGAGAGAGGGCCACCACGCCAGGCCAGCCTGCCCACCACTGCCAAAACCCCCGGCCCCAGCACCAAGGCTGCCCACGGGACCCCCGCACCAGCCTGCTCAGGGACACCGGCCACGGTGGCTGTGGAGCAGCAGGGCACGGGGCTGGCACCAGGAAACGCTGAAACCAGGCAAAGCGGTGGATGCAGGCGGGATCCGGGGAGATCCTGGTGCCAGCAAATGAGTCAAGGGGCCGGGAGGGGTGGGCGCTCTCACCCCTCCTTGCATCTCCTGTCCCCTCCGTGTGTTCAGGAGCACAGAAACCTGACGGCAGCACCCGTGTCCTGGTTTGAGTGACACAGGACTAGTTTCTCTTCTAATGCCTGGGAAAACTGCACTCCTAGAAGACACCAGTGTCTGAATTTGTGACAATATTTCCTTTACAGCCAGCTCTGGGATGTGGGATTCAAGGTCTTGGTGTTTTCCAGCTCTTCAGGTGCAGGGATGAGGAGGAGTGAGACCTGGGCACTTGACCCAAGCTGCCAACAGGGTTAATTTCATACCATGAATGGCACGTTCCATAGAAATTGGAAAGTTTGCTGAGAAGTTCTCTCTCCCTTGTCAACTGTGATTCTGGGAACTCCTTGTCCCGGTGCCAGAGCCCTGAGCCCTTCCCTCCCTCCCGAAGCCCCAGCGCTCGCAGGGTCCCACACTGGCTGTGCCTGCAGGGAGTGCACGGCTTCTGCTGGGGAGTGGGCTGGGGACAGTCCTGGGGTGTTTTATATTGGTATCGGGATCCATAGTGATTCTTTAGTGTTATTGATGTCAATTATCTAGTCTGATTCTATTAAATCTGTTTATATCTCAACCCTTGGGTTTCCTTGTTTTTTCCCAATTCCCCTTCCTGGGTGGGGAGGGGTCATGGGGTGACAGAATAATTGCCTAAAGGACAATAAATTGTTGTGGGTTCCTCAAACCATAACGGGGGTTACAAGACCCTCACAGACTGCCCACGCTTGGGTGTTATTTAAACAGAAGAAATGCATGGGCAAGGAAAGGCCCCACATTTGGGGGTACAAGAGCTGCAGGGGCTTCAGGGGCCAGTGCAGAGTCCTGCACCTTGATAGGAACCCAGTACAGGTTGGGGCTGACCTCCTGGAGAGCAGCTCTGCAGAGCAAGACCTGGGAGTCCTGGTGGACAACAAGTTCCCCATGAGCCAGCAATGGGCCCTTGTGGCCAAGAAGGCCAATGGTCTCCTGGGGGGCATTAAAAAGAACATGACCAGCAGGTGGAGGGAGGTCATCCTGCCCCTCTGCTCTGCCCTGGGGAGGCCCCATCTGGAGCACTGGATCCAGTGCTGGGCTTCCCGGTTCCAGAAGGTCAGGGAATGGCTAGAGAGAGTCCAGTGGAGGCTACAAAGATGATGAGGGACTGGAGCATCTCTGCTGAGGAAAGGCTGAGGGACCTGGGGCTGTTCAGCTGGAGAAGAGCAGACTGAGAGGGGATCTCATCGATGCTGAGCAAGAGCTAAAGGGCAGGTGGCAAGAGGATGGGACCAGATTCTTCGCAGGGGTGCCTGGTGACAGGACAAGGGGCAACAGGAACAAACTGGGACACAGGAAATTCCATCGAAATATGAGGAAAAACTTTGCTGTGAGGGTGGCAGAGCCCAGGAAGAGGCTGCCCAGGGAGGTGGTGGAGTCTCCTTCTCTGGAGACATTCAAACCCACCTGGACGCATTCCTGTGGGACCTGCTCTGGGTGGACCTGCTGTGGCAGGGGTTGGACTGGATGATCTTCAGAGGTCCCTGCCAACCCCTGCCAGTTTGGGATTCTGCCAGACCAGGCCCAGGGAGCCAGGGACAAGGGGAACCAGAGCCCAGCACGGGGCTGGGCTGCCAGGAGGCTGAGCCGTGGGGATACACATCCCCATGTGAGGGCTGTCCCCATCCTCCAGTGCTCCTGCTGGGGCTTGTCCTCTCCAGAGGGTGGGGTCTGCTCTCCAGAAAGGTCTCTGCCATGGCACAGAGGTGTCCCGGTCTGCTCCCCACCCACCCACGGATGCTGGACCCTTGCCCAGCAGCTGCCCTCATGCCCATGGGAAACACGATCCTCCGGAGGGATGGCCGGAGCGGAGGGATGCCACCCTGCTGAGATCATGGCCTGAAATACCCGGAGAGAGGGCCACCACGCCAGGCCAGCCTGCCCACCACTGCCAAAACCCCCGGCCCCAGCACCAAGGCTGCCCACGGGACCCCCGCACCAGCCTGCTCAGGGACACCGGCCACGGTGGCTGTGGAGCAGCAGGGCACGGGGCTGGCACCAGGAAACGCTGAAACCAGGCAAAGCGGTGGATGCAGGCGGGATCCGGGGAGATCCTGGTGCCAGCAAATGAGTCAAGGGGCCGGGAGGGGTGGGCGCTCCCCGGGGAAGGGCTCCTCATCGCAGCGATGCCACAGGCAGGCTGGTTCACAGGTTCTGCTCCCCCCGTCCCCTGGCAGGGGACAGCGTGGGTGGGGGGTCTCAGGAACGCCCGGGAGGGGATTTTTTTTTTCCCCAGCCCAGTCCCCGGAGCCGCAGAGAGACTGGGTTTGGAAAGGAATGGGAAAACCAAAACCACTTTCAACCCTCCCCGTTACGGAAAAGCCTCTGAAACGTGAGCCCCGAGAGCAAACAGGCGGCTGCGCTCGTGGCCGGAGCAGGGGCCGCTCCCCGATAACTCGGGGCCCTTTGAGTCCTTTGTGGCCCCAGCAAAGGTGACAGAGGCGGTGGCCACACCGGGACACAGCAGTGGCCCTGCCTTGGCCACCTGCTGGGGACGGAGCCGTTCCCGGGACACTTTGGGAAGTGACCTCAAAACTGGCCGTCCTGAGTGGAAGAAAATCGCTGTTTGGGAAAGAGGGCGGGAGCGAGCGGGGTGTTGCTGGGGGGAGCGGGCTGTGCCGGTGGGGTGACCTGAGTCACCGGGCTGGAGAGGGGCCAGAGGGGTGACGCCAGGGGACAGGATGCTCCCTGGTGTCACGCTGCCCCGGGGCAGGGCGAAGCCGCACTGTGGGTGACCAGTGCTGGCTCCCAGCAGGACCGGCCCTTCCTTGGACACGTGGCCGGTGACTCCTCTCCCTGTCACCGCGTCCCTCCCGTGTCCTGTGCGGGGTCCCAGTGCCAGCCCCAGGGCTGCTAAACCCTGGCTGTCCCTGCATGAGGACACCGGCCATGGTGGGCAGGGCAACCTCAGCTTCCCCAGGAAACTGGGGCTTCCCGAGGCATTTCTGTGCCTCAGTTTCCCTTCCCGTTGGCAGGTGGTTTCTCCTGTCCTGCCACGACGCCGGCGTGTGCTTCGGGGGGGGACATCACCCGGGAGCCGAGGGTGGAGTACGACAAAAATAGAGCTTTATTTCGGGACAAGTGCAATCAGAGCTGGGTCCTTCGGCCCCGGTGCCGCGACGGTGAGCGCGGCGGCAGCCACCATGGATGCGGTGGTGCCAGTGTGCCCATTGGGGCGTGCACACACGCTTGTGCCAGGGCACACACACGCTGGGATGTCCCTTTGCCAAGGTGAGCGTGTGCCCTGCCGCAGCCCAGCACCCATCCGCAGCGATGGCGGGCGGCTCCCAGCCCTCCCCGGCCCCTTTGCCGGGCTCTCGCCGTCTCTGCTCTCTGCTCCAGCCACGGCACAGGGAGAGGGACAGGACCGGGGCCGCGGTGGCCGGGATGGCACAGTGGGGTCGGTGACAACGTCGGGAGAACCACCAGCAGCCCCAGAGGATCGGCACGACACGGTGGGGTTGGGGACAGGAGAGGGGACACTCACCCACCCCGACCCCGGGGCATCTTGTTCGGCCACGAGAACTGTGCGTGCACACAGCCCCGGGCTCACTCCAGCCAGCAGAGCTCAGTAGTGACACACACGCATGTGCACAAGCACACATGCACACACACAGAGATACCTGCTCACACGCATGGAGCCTGCGTGCACAGCGGGACCATCAGCCTGCACACACACGCGCACACACACACACACGTGCACACAGAGCTGTGCATGCTCAGACATGTGTTTGCTCGGGCAGAATCTGTGCACGCCAACACAGGTGTGCACACCTCACATCAGGCTGTGCACACGTAGCAACACACTTGCACACACAGAAGCTGTGTGCACAGCACACGCGTGCCCACTCACACGCAGAGCCGTGCACACAGACACACTCACACAGAATCACAGAATCACCGTGGTTGGAAGGGACCTCTGAGATCATCGAGTCCAACCTCAAAAAACCCAAACAAACAAACAAAAAAGCAAAAAAACAAAACAAAAAAACCCATCGAAGCTGTGTGCACAGCACACGCGTGCCCACTCACACGCAGAGCCGTGCACACAGACACACTCACACAGAATCACAGAATCACCGTGGTTGGAAGGGACCTCTGAGATCATCGAGTCCAACCTCAAAAAACCCAAACAAACAAACAAAAAAACAAAACAAAACAAAACAAAACAAAACAAAATAACACCCATACATACATACAGGGCCTTTACCAATGTACATGTGCCCACGTGCATGAGACCTGCTTGCACACACGGAGCCTCCACACACTCACATGCTCGTGCCCCTACGCACGCAGAGCCACACATAAGGATCCACTCACACTTGCAGAGCCTGAGCACAACCAGACGTGTGCTCGTGCACACAGAGCTGTGACCAGACCCTCTTGCACATGCAGAGCCCGTGCACATCAACACATCTGTGCACAGAGCTGTGCGCACCACAATACACTTGTGCACACCAGCACATAGATGCAGAGTGCCATGCACGTCAGTAGATGTGCACATGCAGCTCTGCACACCAACACGTGTGTATAGAGCTCCACACACAACACATGTGTGCACAGAGCCATGCACACCAGCACACGTGTGCAAACCAGCCCACATACACACAGACTCGTACACACCAGAAAACAAGTATGTACACAGAGCTGTGCACACCAGCACACCCGTGTCCACACAGAGCCATGCACACCGGCATGTATGTGTGCACACAGCTGTGCAAACCAGCACACGTACACACAATGCTGTGCACTCCAGCACACACATGAGCACACGGGACTGTGAACATCAGCGCACCCGCGTGCACAGTGCCATGCACACTGACACACATGTGCGCATACAGCTGTGCCCACCAGCACAATCCTATGTGCACAGTGCCATGCACAGCAGCACACGTGTGCACAGAGCCGTGCACACCGGCACACATGTGCAAACCAGCCCACCTACACACAGATTCGTACACACCAGCACACGTGTGCACAGAGTTGTGCAAATCAGCACACTCCCGTGTGCACAGTGCCATGCACACCAGCACACACATGCACACGTAGAGTCATGCACACCAGCACACGTGTGTGCACACAGGACCACAAACATCAGCACACGTGTGTGTACACAGTGCCGTGCACGCACACAGGACCATGATCACCAGCACATGTGTGTGCACACAGTGCCGTGCACACCAGCACATTTGCACACACACAGCCGTGCACACAGGACCACGAACATCAGCACACGTGTGTGTACACAGTGCCGTGCACACCAGCACACGTGCACGCACACAGCTGTGCACACAGGACCATGATCACCAGCACACGTGTGTGTACACAGTGCCGTGCACACCAGCACATGTGCACGCACACAGCCGTGCACACAGGACCATGAACACGTGTGTGCACCCCAGCACACGTATGCATGACACCGTGCACACCAGCACACCCGTGCACCCCCCGGCTCCCTGTCCGCCCCATCCCCGGTGGCCCTCACTCCCCGCGGGGGTGTCCCTGCCGCGGCCGTGCCCCCCAGCGCGCGGCGATGAGGTCCGGCTGCTGGTACATGAACATGCCGGCCAGCGTCAGCCCGATGCCCAGGTAGCTGAGCCCGCTCAGGTGGCTGCCGAAGAGCAGGCGGGAGAGGAGCAGGTTGCCCACCACGGTGACGTTGCCCAGGACGTGGACGGTGAGGGCGGAGGTGAGGGAGAGGACGCAGAAGGTGGCCAGGTTGTAGAGGACGGAGCCCAGGCAGCTGAGCAGGACGCAGGCCCAGAGGGTGCTGTCGTAGCCCAGGACGCCCTCCCAGGAGGGACCCAGCTCCAGCGCCACGGCCGCCCCGAAGAGCAGGCAGAAGCTGGGCAGGGAGGTCAGGCAGAGCAGGGACAGGGCGTCCAGACGGTCCTCCTGCA